CCAGAAGGATATTCATCTTTTAGGTGTCCAGCCCTCCTTTGTCCTACGACTGTTTCCGGTTAGTGCTGGATGCTTGGTAGCTAGCTACGTTAGCTCTTCCTCGAAAAGTGAAGTGGTGTCTGTTGTGATCAGAGTGCCAAGCATCTGGGAAATATTACCCTCAAGGTGTGTGTTTTGTTTGCCAATCTAAAGACAAACATTAGTGAAGTTTGAGCGGCGCACAGCTGTCAACCCGGAGGAATAACCCTCACATTGGCTCAGAAACCCTGCAGGGACGCTAACCTTAGAGCTAGCTGTGGCTAACGTTACTCCCGCTGCCACTGTCAGTGTGTAACGTGAGCTGACTTACTCCAGGTAACCCAGCGTCGCTGTTAAGAGACATTGACAACGCACTGCCGGTATTTGTGGCATGTCGCTAACATACTTGTGAAGAAATAGTGGGCACCAATATCAGAGAAGCGGAGCACTTTAAGCAGGTTAGCTGGTACCGGCTAACATCTGCTACATCTCAGTGCTAGCTTATTAAGCACAGACAAGCGGCAGCGAGGTGCAGCTAGCCGCCCACCACTGACTACATGGAGACAACACACAGTCTCTTTAGTTAGTTTGCGTTGTAAAGTCTTTGAAAAGCTGTGCTAACAATACGCGAATGTCTACTCTGTTAGGTCATTGTGTGTAAGACAGATGTTTGAGCAGCTCGTTGCTATAAGCTAACCCAGCTACTGTTTCTTTTCCAGGTTATGGCATGAAAAACTGAGCTACCAAGCATCCTAAAGGTCTGCCTGCCCAAACCTTAGAGACTAAGGTCGAGTGGATGCATCCACGGACGATGTGACACTACACCTCTTTAAATGGGATGCAGGATCGACTGTAGAGGATATTTAATTTGCCTCCCGGAAAACACTTTGTTGGACTGTTTGTTGCCTAAACTGGTGCATCAATGAACGAAGAACCTCTTGAGAGCCCGGTCTCTGGCAGAGAGCCTGAGGAAGAAGATGTGGGACAAAGCACAGAGAAGAAGAGCAGCAGAGCAGAAAACACCTCTGAGGCAGCACCAGCTCAGGAGGAGCCCTCAGACAGTCTCCATACGAAGGGAAGCCCAAGCTCAGATCCAGTACAGGAAAACCCAGAGGAGGCAAAGGAGGATGATAAGGCCGCGAGTGGCGAGCCTCCTGTTGACTGGTTTGAGCCCCTTGAGGAGGATGATGATGATGCCAATAGTGTTGGTAGGAATGATCCTGAAGAAGAAAGCCTGGCAGGGGAAAGTGAAAGGAGTGAGAGCGTGGCGGGCAGCGAGATGGCCTTCAAAAAGATTTATCAGTAGGTGGAATAATGTTTTTCTCCAGTCTGTGGCGGTGTAGTAATAATGCAATATGCTGTCAAATGTGCAGAGCCTGCATACATGTACTGTAGTGTGTTAATGAGCAACATCTCAATATCTAGATTTAGATTGCTACGGCCATGTACATGAGCCATAATATATCTTTATTATGGAAATATAAATAAGGTGTAATCATGTGTAAATGTGTCTGAAAAGTTATATAGAGATATTCACAGGAACTGCCAGTGGAAACTCATTGGGTGCCCTTTAAATGTATTTACTTAACTTCAATCTGTTGAACGAAAAGAAATATATAACACAACATAGCGTATGCTATATTGATGACAATGTAAACACATCCCATGTGTTCTACTTCTAACGTATAATTTCTGTCTCCTCTTTTAAATTCAGGTTTCATGTTCCCCGCCGTAAGCGATCTCATCCCGATGAAGGATGGGTTGAATGGCCATTACTCGGAGACGGTTGGAAGCGCAAAGAAGTTGTTCGACGCTCAGGTTCTAGCATTGGACAGAAAGATGTATATTACATGAGGTAAATACTGTTTGTGGTCAACTTTTACTACTTGTTGAATACTTTCTGTTTTTTACACTCTTGATATTTCGACTCCTCCCTCCACTGCTTCTTTTATGTCTTAGTAAGCAGTGTCTTTATAGTGGTCACACAACTTGTTGTATGTTAGGGCAATATGACAGAAAAGACACACATAGCATATAGATATCACAATAACTGGTCGTATTTACCACTAATGATACATCGATAATAATACAACGTAGCGCATAAATTGAAACAAAATTTGAAATATGTTCATATTGGTTTAAGCTGTGTGTGAATTTTTTAATATTTGCTAGACTGAACAATTGTTATTATTAAGACAAAGGAGTAAGCAGATAAATCAGTAATAAAGATGATTGTCAGTTGCAGCCCTAATTAATAAAAAAAAACAAAATTATGGTTAAACAAATAGTGATATTTTTAGGGATGCACCGATTGTAAAAATTCGGAGCTGCTGCCAATGTTTTTTTGTTGTTATTTATTCCAATGCAAAGGAGAGAAAACAAATCTACAAAGATAAGCATCTCTGGCTTGTTGCAGCTCAGTATATTC